CAATGCTTCACTCAAAATCGCAATCCAAATAAATCACGAGCACGAAAGTACACTCCACTGAATCACCGAGTTTCTATCATGGTCCAAAGCAGGCACGGTACTTTTGACAATGGTCCGATTCTCCGGCGATCGCAAATAGAAGACGACGGAATTATCAGTCAGCCGGCGTCAATGAAAATGGTTAGGGGCTAAACAATGACTTTCACGGAAGTGTATCGGAATGAACGAGCGGAGGAGTTCCTGCCATGTTCAGCGTGGAATTTGGTTTAAAAAAAAAAAAAGTGATCGGAGCTCGCTGCAATTTCGTATGTGGGATTGGCCTACAGAAACGCTGTAGGCGTGGCTCACAGAAGATTGGTCCCTGAAGGACGATGAGTCTGATGTCAGACTCGATGGAGCATCGCTCGGAAGAACTCGCGTTTCGATGTAATTTTATTAAATAAATATTATAGGATATATAAGACGAGATAAATTATCAAAGGAAAGTAAATCAACGAAAAGAGATTCAAAGGAACAAGTTGTACAAAAAAATGTGTAGTCTAGAAAACACCTTGACTAGAGCAACTAGATACAATTCTACTTTATTCGGATATCATTTATTATACAGATTACAATTCTTTACGATCGTCTTTTGATAGAAATTATACTTTTTTATATATTTCTACTAAACAACTACCGATGGCTACCGCTGCCATTGAATAAATTCGATTACATCGAGCAGCCACGGATAGAAACGTCTTATACGTAATTGGTAATCTTCGTCGATTAGGATGAAACAGCAAAGGAATCGAATTCCAAGAAATAAAAATAGATATGCTATTCGAGTTATACATGTCCGTGGAATAATAGCATAGAGACGTATGGTCGATGATATCTCTGGAAGCCATATGGTTATCTTTGCATACAGACTTTCGGAGTATACAGTCACTTAGGTGTTTATTTGAAGAGCCATGTTTGAAGCAGCCTCTACCCACATGCTAAGAATATTCTTCGGGATATGTACACACCGTGATCCTCTATTCGATTTTATTAGGTTTTAGGATTTTCAAGAGTCCGGCGAATCATGATAAGCGAATCTCTAATTGAGTTCGCCGAGATCACGATCACAAATTTCCCTCTCGAATCACTCTCGTAACAACCTCGTGTCAACCAATAGACCTATCCTTCGAATATAAAAGTTTTCTAACATCTGACATTTTATTACCACAGATTTTTTTCCCCCCGAGAAAGAGAGAGAGAGAGTGCATCGGTATCCAAAGAATAATTAGTAAATTTTTATTTATTCGTATTTTTATTCGCCTATTCAAAGCATTCGTCCATTAATTGTACATTGCGTAAGATCTGGACAGCAGGATCATTCCATGGTACAACTTCTCAATCTCGTCCTCTGACGGATCGACGTTCCTTTTCGGACGAACGTAGCTTTGCAAACCCTGTAGATTCTGAAACCCGAACAATTTCTGTATCTAGACTCTGTGTAAACGGGCTTGGTTTCTCAATTTCGCTACTCGACCGCTTAAATCCAAAAAATCCACTCACTGAGAACACTATAACATTCCCGTTGCCCGTGTTTCCAGCGTTTTGACGTATTGCTGTTATTATAAGTGTGAGCAGATAACCGCCGAAAGCAAGGAACGAAAGCGCCGTGACCGACAATTGAAATATCTTTGAAATTTTCGTGTCCTTGCCTTTTTCCTCGTGATAGTCCTCGTATCGTCTCATTGGCTTTTTACCCATTCTTTTCAACGGCTGCGCAACGGGCGACAACAAAGAAAACGTTCTGCTTGACATTTCCTCCGTTTGTACATCTTCCTTCGCAGTTTGTACATCTACACTCGTAATTTATTCAATTGATTTCGATTAAATTAGATTACCTGTTCGAGTTGCGTGTGCTTTTAACACTAGGACCATCGACGATTAGAGCGAATAAAATTTCCATCAGAGACATTGAAGTGGAAAAAATAGAGGAACTTTATAATGCAATGGATCTATATTTATTTATATATTTATATACGAAAAATCTATAATATAAATAATAAATTTAAAGATATGCTGCTCTACGTCTATCAAAATGTCTAACAAAAATTATAAATTGATCATTTTGACCACTCTGGTAGTTGCAGTGTTAAGATTTAAAACAGTTTACCTCCTTCGTCCGCGAGAGAAGACTTTATTTGAATCAATTCGCTCATCGGCAGTTCGCTCAAACAATACACTTCCTGCGTGTAAAACGACGTTCGGTTTGCCGATGCAACTTTCAAGCAGAGAGATACCAATAGAAACGATATCGCGTTGCTGCTCATGCTAAACGATATATAGTTTACAATTTCCGAGACGCGTTTTAAACGACACGTTCCACGTCCGACAAAGTTCGTTTCGTACTAGTTCGGAAAGGTAACGAGAAACAATTCCTCTCCTAGAATCTACAGATCCTGTCTCTCGTGCTTGGTCGACAGAGCGAAAATCGTTGTCATCAACGCGGCAAACTCGGAACAAGAACGTGACAGATCAACAAGGCGGAAATGAACGAGTAATTAACATCCGTTAGAACCAGGTCGAGTGTAATTCTCAGTGGTGAGAAAGCCTCGGCCGCGATACGATGGAGAAGATTTTACGCGTTTCCTTCTGCATTACTACTATAGTGATCTGTGCCTCCGGTTTACCTCAAGAGGACGACGGTTGGTTGTAAAGTTTGAGCGTATGACTCGATCAATCGAGCAGTTCGTTAACTGCTTCAATTCGTAGGTGTCCTCGACAAGATAAAAACAGGGTTGGAATACGCGACGAATTATCTGGAGACTGCGAAGAATATCGCTGATCTGGTTGCGAGGAGTTTAAGTGGTAAACCGAAGGAAAAACAAGGAGAGGATGACGGAACAGGGGAGAAAGAAAACTTTGGCCCTTCGAACGTCATGTCCGCGTTCTTTCGCCTGTTCGGCTTGGACTCGCAGAAAGTAACAGCCATTGCCGTGAACAGTGTTATATTTCTTGCGCAAATGGTCCGCAAATTATCCGCAAATTATCCATTATTACGCGACCTTTCCATATGAAATAATCACGAACTTTCGTCGACGATTGCAGATAAGTTCGTTGTTCGATCTGAAAGCTGCAAAGGGAAATATCGGCAGGAATTTGGAAGACGAGGCTGATACCTCATCTTGGAATCCAGCTAAACTTATCACGGAGAGCAAGAGCGAGAGAGTGAGTCAATTTGAATATAAAAAACGAAGATATAGAAAGTATAGAGGGTTGCGAGATAACAAGGACACTTTCTTTTCAGATACAGGACTTGATCGAGCAAGCGTACGATGAAAATCTGCCGAGCCGATTGATCGAGAGAATAGACGGTACCGATTCGGCGTGTACTCGATTGCTCGTGTGTAAAATCTCCCCGGTGATAACAGCGGCGCAGAGTTTCCTAAAAAATGAAGCCCGCGTTAAACCGCGTCGACTGACTGCCTGGTTGCCCAGCAGAGACGAGTTCGAGGAAAACAGCGACGGATGCGAAAACACGCATACCGACTGCAGTTTATTTTCCTAAAAATAGCCTATTGATATCGGCTTGTGTAGTTTATTTAACTTTATTCGCTGCGAACTCGATCGAGAGAGAAACGACGACAGAGATGATGCAGGAATTTCTCAGAGGATACACTACGAGACTAAATTCGCGTGTCAGTTCGAAAGGAAAATAGTTGAGACTTCTTTAAAAACTGTAATATGCAGCTGCGTGTAATATGGAAATATTGCTTGGGGATCAAGGTGTTGGTTTGCACGTAGCATATATATTTGCGTCCATACAAATATATACTATATTACAGAATATACAAGGTATTCCAAAATTAATTTACTGAACGTTGTAACGAAGTAACGTCCCTGACGTTTCCGGTAACGTTCCAGAAGTGCGCGTCGATGAACGAAAAAGAAGAGAGTAGTGAAGTCAAAACTATCGTCTCCTCTTCAAGTATGTCCCATTTATTTGAAACAAATACCGGTGAATTAAGTTTGATAATATCCCCTTGTACCTCGAGCCATACACAAGATGGCTGCGAGCGAACCCGTCCCAATTATCTCAAATAAAATCATATTGCTTCAAGTCGTTTAATTTTTACAAACAACATTTGTCTCTTGTTACGTTACACAAGAAAACGTGTATGATCGTGGTGTATGGAATCTCGATAAAGTAATCTCGATCGCGTTGCCAGAGTGTTGAACGCGTCGACTCGCGGATCTTCAGCGGTGATTAACAGAGTATTCATCGATAACGTCTCGTGTAAAACGCATTGTGCGAGAGACACAGTAATCCGGTTACGTAACGAAACTGCGAAATCGAGTTTTTAGGAAACGAACTATTCGCAAATTATTGCACTGCAGCACCTTTTGACTGATTAAATAACCATAGGACCATCCTGATGTAACGTCTTAATTTACCAACTTTCGAAGCAATGAAACGTTGACGACACCGTGCCTTTCACGGAGAAAGGTAGCCGGTATGATAATTCGTAGGGACGGTGCTAATGAAAAATCTCTACTTTTTGAAATATTCGCAAGTCGAACGTCTTAAAGTGAGCCTACAATCCCCGAATATCGACTCAATGTCCTATCGGCATTATTTAATCGATACAAAATCAACCATATAGGTTGTTCGATCGCTGTTCTTACGGAACATCGATTAATATCAAGACCGCTTGCTAAGTAAAAGAATATCGAATGAAATGTCAATGACAAGATTGTAACAAGGAAGAAGGAACCGTTCGAGCAACTACTACTTTGAAACAAGTTTTCTCGCGAAATTACCGGGGAATTTTCTACGATGTAGCCACGTGTCACAGACTTTCAAATGTATACTGTCACGTTTCACAGTGTAGAAACCTTAATCGCTCTACACTATACACCTAATGAGATCAGAATTATTGCGGCCTATATGCTGTCGAAGATTAAATGTCGATTGAACGTTTCTAAAATCAACGAATCGATACGATATTGTTAATTGTTAGTCGCTTCTGGTGATCGATCGATCCAGAAACGGACTTTCTCTACGTTTCCCTTACGTACGGTGTGTACACCGTAATTATGCGTGAGTCAGTTTACAAAGTCGATAATTATGAAAGTTTGGCATTTGAGGGACATCATGGTAAACGCAGCAGAGAACTTCGGACGCGCTCCAAGTTCGAAGTTCGATGAAGTTGTCGACAAATCGTCGAAAAATCGTCTATGAATCTCTGCCTAAGTGCGGCGTGGGACTTACAATGTACACAATGATCAAGTAACTCGATACAAAAGCTAAGTCTTTCCGTTGACAATTTTGATTCACATATCACATACTGATCTGATAAAAGGAAAACCGGTTCGACACTTCTCGTACGTCGAAGATGACGCGTCGGTTTTATCACATATCCGTCTCAAACGCGATTATTTTACGTCAAATAATTCGAAATATCCGATACATGTATATTTATAGTAAACGTATATACGATATAGGATGTACGCATATTATACATTCTCGTTACATTACACGGAAAAATCCATCTCGAAAATATATATAAAGATTCAAACAGACTGTTCGGGGGGGGGGCTGGAGAGGGGGGAGGAGCGAAAGGAACCAGCGGATCGTATCGAGAATACGGCTATCGAGAAATTCTTATTTACACAGAGCAGAGAACTTCGCCGCGCCTAACGCCTGTCCTTTGCGCAAACTCGCGCAAACTCGCGCAATTCAGCTCGCTTCCTCAACGACTCACGAGCGACTTCGCATGCTGAACGGCGCGATGATTCGTTCGTTTCCCTTTACGAAAGTCTTCCGCTTTTACATGGTCATCCACTGCAATGTTAAAGTTAACTATTAAACGAACAGTGCCTGACGAAATCTCTGGGCGAAATAATAATCGTATCGTCCAGTAGGCTGCTGTCCCGGGTATATAGTTTTAAGGAACGATGCAACCGAGCGTCTTGAAAACGTCACGTTGCAACAGCGTCGCCTCGAGGCTCGTGTCCGCATTAGAGGCTGTCGTGTTCGGATTAGATGGCTCGAGGCGACGACTCTGTTGCTGTTCTGTAAACGTCCGCGCCTCGTTGCAGTCTTTGTCGTAGCTTCAGCGATGAAACGAACTGAACTCGATAGGAACAAACAAAAAGGAGGTTCTCGAATCAGCACAATAGACTCGGCCAAGACGGGCACGCGATTCCAAACTCATTTAACGACGAAATTTCGATCGAAACTCTCGCTTCCAAACGACTTGTACTACGATATATAAGACAAAAAGAACGATTAACGAAAACACGTTTTCTTGAACTGGTTTAGAAACACGTGTAGATACATAGAATCTACGTCAACAAAACGGGTACCGGAATCGCCTAGCGTATGCCGTTTGGAACCAAACTTTTCGATGGACTGTGGGCCGTTTTTTATAGTGTCGTTCGACCTGGACTGATCTTTGCTCTCGACACAAGTCTGTCGCAGCCATTCCCGTAGATTCCACGTTCTCTCCATCAGGTTCGAGGAATTTTTATCAACGGTGCAAACGCTGGTGGTGAAACCGCTGTTAGGGCCATATTGGGCGATGATGTTTTGCGTGTTAGGCGTTGGTGGTTGCGTTAACTGAGACAGAATGTTCGATTGAATATTCGGGGTGCCGAATGTCCCTGAAAAAAGAATTTAGGACGACGTTAGAAAGCTTCTGCATGACGTTGCCCAAACAATGGGCCTGTACTTACCTTGTATGTTATTCGATTCGGCCGTAAGATGATGGAAACGTAGCCATCGCAAATAAGAATACATCAAAGTTGGCGGCGGTGGTACGTTCGTGTCCTGGCGTTTATTCAGCACGCCCCAGATCTCACGTATTTCCGAGTTTAGGTTTTCCAGGTTGGCAATGATTTCCGTGGACTCCTGGTAGTGATCCGGTTTGTCTGAGTACGAAGGATCAAGACCACAAGATCGAAAACAAATTCTTGAGTGGAAAGAAATGAACGAAAGGCAGGCAGCGCTTCGAGCGGACCGAGGAAAATAATTCGTGAAAATAACGAACAAAGTTAACGAAGGAGTGGGAGGCAATCAAAGAATAACTGACAGCGGAAGAGAAAGAAGGAGAAATCTGTCGAATTCTTTTACCTATGAACGCGTCGGTTGCCAAATCGGTTGAACTGATACCACTGCTCACGCTGGACATATCGCTCAACGTCAATTCTTCGTTTTTTGCCGCAGTTGCGTCGTTTTCGTTGGTTTTGGCATTAACCACTCTTTCCAGGGATTGTTCCAAATGCCTCAAATGGATCACTTTCTCGCCCAGAAGGCTTTTGGTTCGATGCAAATTCACTTCCATGTCCGAGAGCTCGCGTTCCTCCTGAATACAAATTAATAGGTTGATTGCTTATAGGTCATCAAGTAACTATGGTTTCTACTCTTATAAATATTCTAGCATAATTAAAGTAAAACGAATATCATTCATAAAAAAAAAAAATATTAAATAAGTATGTGATACTATAAAATAACTTTCACTGCGGTGTAACACAATACCTTAGGAAAATTTCATGTAGCAGTCAACGTAGTAAAGATAGCTATACGAAAAGAAATACCTGAATTAATTGCTCGAGGGATGCTCGAACGCTGCGTTGCTTCCAAGCCCTCTGTCGTCCCTGGAACACGTTTTCTTGGTGACGAAGTGCCTCCCGAGCCCTCTTCACTGAATCTCTTTCGACGTGAATTCGATGCCGGAAGAACTCCAGCTCCGAAGAGGCGTTCACTGGTGCTAAAAAATCGAGCAAAATCCTTTCCGATGCCATCGTTATTAGCTCGTACACAGGCAATGCCGATAAACGCGGCGTGCAAGAAAAAAAAAAAATGTAACGAAAAGAGGAGAAAAACCAACGAGGACACACTCGAGTCGTGACGATAGGAAGGAAATTAAAAATCTAATGGTGCACTTACGAGCGGGTGAGAGAGTACAAGCCGCTAGCTAAAGTAGAGTGTATAGATGCCTAGGAAGGAAAGAAAGAAACAAATAATAATCCAGTCTTAATTTTAAGAAATAAAAATGAAAATATTGGTAATTAAGAAAAACGAATTAGCGGTAAAAAGAGATCCTCATTTATATTTCAGATGGATTGGAATAATGAAAGCGATTAAGCTGCGAATTTTTAATGATAAACCATAAAAAGGTCCATTTGATCCAAAAAAATAAATGAATATACAGTATGTTTTTGATCCGATGGCACAACCAGAAAGGATATGATTCTAGATTAAAAAATAAGTCGAAAAGAAACATCAAATTTTTTTGTTTCCATCAATTTTGAACCAGTCAGAAACAAACAGCAAAAATAAGTAAAAAGTGTAGAATACAATTTTTTTATAATACCCTTCATTTTCGAGAAAATTCAGTTTCAAGCATACACCTATCAAGTCGATTCTTAATTAAACACGTTCAAAGTCTATTTTCTTGAAAATTAAGTCTTGAAGGGAAAAATTTTATTCTGCACTTTTCAATTACTTTTGCACGTAATAGCTCCTGCTGATTATTGACTCCTGCCTAATCTAGAATTAACCAAACTCACGCATATTTGATAAATTTTCAAGCTCAAATTTTTTGAAAACGAGGCTTTCAAAATGAAGAAATTTTATTCTTTATTTGCGACTTATTTTCTTTATGTAGAATCGCCCCCTTTCCTGCTGCACCGCCGGGAATCGGGAACACCCTACATTTTGTCCGTCTCTAAAATATTCACAATGCTAGGAAAAAAAAAAAAAAAAAAAAA